ATTTCTGAAGAAGGGTCTAGGCCTGAAACGTCAGCTTTCCTGCTCCTGTGATGCTGCTTGGCCTGCTGTGTTCATCCAGCTCTACACCTTGTTATCTCAGATTTTCCAGCATCTGCAGTTCCTACTATCTCGAACACAGAAAGAACTTTTTTTTCACTTCTATTACCAGGTTTATTCATAATTTGTAGCTTCTCTCCTGGAAGTGCTTGCTCTTTTATCATCATATGAATCATGTCATGCTTAATTGTAAGTTCGAACAGTATCAGCCATCTCAACCAGTTCTGGTCTTGCCTTCAACAAAATTTATTTATTGACCTTGCCTGACAGTAGCCATGAGGGGTGAACCCCGTCATCTTGCCACTCCATACCCAGCAGCTCTGAAGTCAATTGGCATGAGCTGGCTGGAATCACTTAACTTCATAGTGCATCTTTAAAATGGGAAATGGCCATACCTCAAAAATGCCATCAAAGTTTTTGATTTTGAGGTGAGGTGGTAGCTTAAAGTTGTTCCTGATATCATTTCTCCGTTTGCCAGTATAAGGGACATCCACAGTCAGAACGATGGCCCTGTACCCATGTGCTTCCACGCGATGTACTAGCTGCTCTGACAGTTTACGGTTGCGATAGACATAAAGCTGAAACCATCGAAATCCATTCGGTGCTGCAGCTGAAATCTCTTCCACAGAACAGGTGGAGTATGTGCTTGCAATGTAACATGTGTTCATGGCTTCAGCAGCTACAACACAACACATAAATACTGATCAAAATCCACATTGTTAATTGTTGAACTTATAGACTGTAAGATTTTCATGTTCTTTGACTTTGAAGGAGTTTCATTAGAGTGCTGGCATTTAAATTCTTGGATCTAGATTCAGCTTAGGAGCTTCTGGCTCAGAGGGATGAGATGTTTCCTTGTGGATAGCATCTCTGCCTGTGAGCCAGCAGCTCCAAGTTTGAGTCCTGCACTGGGATTTGATGGCCCCAAAGGGTAAGTTCATAACCCAAGCAACCAAGATGATTGCTAACCTGTAAATGTTTCCAGTATGTCCATTGTAGATGCAAAGACCAGCAGTTTCCTGTCACCCAGAACCATTTGGTAACTTGCAATGCAACAACCTCCTGAAGGTAAAAGACTCCAACACCAAGTTTTAGCCATTGCCTCTACTCCATAGCAAGTGTTTTCCTCACTTTAGGGTTCTGCTGATGATGGTCAGATTCATTTTTAGCCCAAGGGGAAAAATGTAAAATTTTTCCTTCCTTGAAATTTCAAAATTCTTTTTAATTGGAGATTTAGCCATTTTATCTGAACGGTTGTTCCACATGACTGCATCAGGCTTAACTGTGCTGAATATTCACATATTTCTACTTTATCTTATTGTCACAGCACAAAACATACAGGAAGTGATGGTTTTACTTACATCACAGCATAATCTGCTAGACATTTGAACTGGTCTAATATTATCCTTCATTGAAACAGATAGAAAGTAGGATATATGGAACAGTCCTTTTTCCACTGTTACACCAGCACCATCCCTCACCTCTTCCTCCGTTACATTGATGACTGTATCGGTGCCACCTCGTGCTCCCACGAGGAGCTTGAACAGTTCATCAACTTTATTAACACCTTTCACCCAACCTCAAATTCACCTCCCTCTCCTTCCTGGACCTCTCTGACTCATCTCTGGTAACCATCTCAGCACCTACATCTATTTCAAACCCACCGATCCCACAGCTACCTAGACTTTACCTCCTCTCAACCACCCTCCTGCAAGAATGCTATCCCTTACTCCCAATTCCTCCGCCTCCGCCGCATCTGCTCCCAAGATGGAGCGTTCCACTCCCACACATCTCAGATGTCCTCTTATTTCAAGGACCACAACATCTCCCCTCCAGTGACCAAAAATGCTCTCAACCACATCTCTTACATTTCCCGCACTTCTGCCCTCAAACCCCCCTTCCCCCAACAAAAATAAAGACGGAGTTCCCCTGGTCCTCACAAACCACCCCACCAACCTCCGCATCCAGCACATGATCTTCTGCCACTTCGGCAACCTACAACCCGACCCCACAACCAAACAGATAGTTCCCTTACACCTCTATCTGCCTTTCATAGGGACCTCTCCCTCTTCTGCTCCACACTCCCTACTATCCCCACAACACACGGCAACTTTCCCTGCAAGCGCAGGAAGTGCTACACCTGCTCCCACACCTCCCCTCTCATCTCCATCCAAGGCCCAAAACAAACTTTCCATATCCAATAGGCATTCACCCCTGTACATCCTCCAACCTGGTCTACTGGATCCATTGCTCCCGATGTGGCCTCCTCAATATTGGTGAGACCAAGCACAGACTCAGTGACAGATATGCGGAGCATCTGCACTCTGTACACTATAATCAACAACACCACTTTAACTCCCCCTCCTACTCCCACTCCCTGGGTGACATATCCATGCTGGGCCTCCTCCAGTGCCACAATGACACCACATGCAAATTAGAGGATCAACACCTCATATTCTGCCTCGGGAGCCTACAGCCCGATGCCCTGAACATAGAATTCACCAGTTTTAAAATCTCCGCATCCCTGGCCTTATCCAACGTCCAACCCTCCCTTTCATCCCCGCCTCCTTGACCTGACACAACCTGTCCATCTTCTTCCCCACCTATCTGCCCCACCCTTCCCACTGACCAATCCCTACTACCCCCTACCTATATCCACCTATCACCATCCCCCCTCCCCCCCCCCAGCCCCACCCCTCCAACTTCTCACCTCCTTGACTTTACACAACCTGTCCATCTTCCTCCCCACCAATCCGCCCCATCCTTCCCACTGACCAATCCTCACTACTGCCTACCTGCATCCACTTATCACCATTCCACCTACCTTCTCCCAGCCCCACTCCTCCTCTCTATTTATTTCCAAGCTCCCTTCCCCCTCCCCAGTTCCCATGAAGGGTCCCAACCTGAAACGTCGACTTTCCTGCTCCCCTGATGCTGCCTGACCTGCTGTGTTCCTCCAGCTCCATACTGTGTTGACTCTGACTCCAGCATCTTCAGTTCTTGCTATCTCTAGAAAGTAGTTATAATGGCAATGGTGCTATTAATAACATTAATAACAATGGCGATTGCATTATTCCTACATTTACTCTATCTTCACACCTCTTAAGCTTAAACATTAAAATAACAGCACTGGAAAATGGTTGCTAAAAAGTCTGTTTATAAAATTTCCTGCTCTGGGTATAGAAAGCCATAAACGTTGGAAATATTTTGATCTTGGTTATGTATTTGCTCATTAATACTTTAAAGTCATTTACAAGGACTTGTGTTCAAAACTCACATCGATTGCATTTGATCATAAGGCTGTGTTAAAATTTCTTTATGTACATTACTGCAACCATATGAATACAGTTACGTCTTGAAAAGAAAATGTCTCTTATGAAGTACCACGGGCTGTACTCATCTCCCCATCATGCCATGCCATGCAGTGGAAAGCAGTAGGTGCGATTCCTATGGGAAAACTGATCTCCATTCCCTGGATGGTTACCCTTGTATCTGTTACGGAGACATCCCTTAGCATTCGTGGACGCAGGCGGATTCTGCAAAGTTAGCAGAAAATCTCAAATTACATTAAACGCTACGTAATCTATGTCATATAATATCTACCTTCTTAAGACATACTATATTCCTGAACTGTGTTTAGCCTATACTAGCTGAGTGTGAGGTATTGTCGAGGTAGAAGGCAGAAAGGAAAAGTGAGAGGAAGGATGAAAACTCACAACAGATCCAACATAATTCCTGTTCCATTTAAAATCAGACTGCATTACAGGTCCCTGTGTGATCTTCTAATCATGCTTTTGCACAGGCAATAGAGATGTACTTCATATATGTTTACAATGACATCATGAATGAATAAACAGCTCAAAGAAGAAAGAGAGTGGAACAGCCACTTAATATTTATGTTGCATTTTAAAGTAATGAAGCCTCAAGACTCTTCACAGGAGAACTATGAAGTCAAACTGGACACTGAGCCACCAATGGTGATGTTAGGGCAAGGTGATCAAAGAGGTAGGTTTTGGAAACAGAGAACTCGTGAAGCAGAGAGCTCTATGGAAGGAACTGTCGAGTTTAGAACCCAACAGCTAATGGTAAGGCCATTAGGCTTTAATGGAGCAATTAAAATTAGAGATGAGAAAGAGATGAACAATGTTACTCTGAAGAGTTGTATGGCTGTGGGAGACCACACATGGGGAGGCGAGAGGCCAGACAGGGGCTTAAAACTGAAGATTAGAATTTGGAAATTGACGTGTTGCTTGACTGGGACCCAAAGTATATCAGTTAGTGCAGGGTAATAGGTGAACTGGATCTGCTGCAGAAATAGTTAACCTCAGTGCTGTCATGGAAGAGGGCCAGTGCTACGGCATTAGTGTTCATAGCTACACAGCAAGTGACAAGAAAAGATTTAATTCCTCAGCATTTAAATCCCATTCTAAGTATGCTGAATGGTAAAGGATCAAGATGTGGAGGTGCTGGTATTAGACTGGGGTGGACAAAGTCAGAAATCACAAAACATCAGGTTATGGTCCAACAGATTTATTTGATATCACAAGCTTTTGGAGCGCAGCCTCTTCGCCAGGTGAAGTGAGAGAGAAGAGCGCACAGACACAGAATTTATAGGCAGAGAGATCAAGGGCAGAGAGATCAAAAGATCATACAACTGGAGTGAGTGAAATAATAAGTTTCTGCAGGTGATCAAGTGTTAGACAGTGTGAGTAAAGTGTCAACAGCACAATAACAAGAAAAGGGACGACCTATAATCTGATTAAATGAGGCAGAGAGATAATTACAAAAAATTAAAAATAAGGTGGTGCTGGAGACAAACTAAATGACTGGAATAAGATGATAGATATAAGAGTCACATGCGGACGGTCTAACCAAAGTAATAAGTAATCCAAAGCTGTAAAAACAGATCATGATAATTTATCAAGGTGATGGTGTCAAAACAGGACAGTGAGGGAGATTTTATAGATACAGAGCAGTGTGGTGGGGTCACATGAACCCAAGATCACGATTGAGGCCATCGTCATGGATGCAGAAGTTGGTTATCAGTTTCTGCTCAGTGATTCTGTGTTGTTGTGTATCTTGAAGTCCACCTTGGAGGACGCTTACCCAAAGACTGGAGAGTGAATGTCCTTGGCAGCTGAAGTGTTCCCTGACTGGGAGGGAACATCCCTGTCTGGCAATTGTTGCACGGTGTCCATTCATCCATTGTCATAGTGTCTGCATGGTCGCTCCAATATACCATGCCTCGGGGCATCCTTGCCTGTAGCATATGTGCTAATACCCATCATGTTATTCCAGTCATTTAGTTTGTCTCTAGCACCACCTTATTTTCAATTTTGTGTGATTATCACTCTGCCTCATTTAATCGGATTATAGGTCATCCCTTAAGATAACAAGTTGTAGAGCTGGATGAACACAGCAGGCCAGGCAGCATCAGGGGAACAGGAAAGCTGACGTTTTGGGTCTGGACCATTCTTCAGAAATGATTACTGAAGAAAGGTCCAGACCCGAAACGTCAGCTTTCCTGCTCCTCTGATGCTGGTTGGCCTGCTGTGTTCATCCAGCTCTACACTTTGTTATCGCAGATTCTCCAGCATCAGCAGTTCCTACTATCTCTAACCAGGTCATTCCTTTTCTTGTTATTCAGCTGTTGACACTTTATTCACACTGTCTGACACTTTTGATCACCTGCAGAGACTTATTATTCGCCACTCCACTCACACCAGGTGTATAATCTTTTGGTCTCTCTGCCCTTGATCTCTCTGCCTATAAATTCTGTGCCTGTGTGCACTTCTCTCTCACTTCCCCTGATGAAGGGGCTGTACTCTGAAAGTTTGTGATTTCAAATAAACCTGCAGGACTGTAACCTGGTGTCTTCTGGTGACTTCTGGTAAATGATCAAGTGGGGGGTGGTGCAAGTTATTTGCATGTGTTTGTACATGCTCTTGTACTGTGCATACATATATGTGTAAATGATGACAATGGAACATTAAAGTAAAGAAGCATACTCACTGGTCAATAGTGTCTTAGTTATTGTCTGAGAACAAAGTAACTGGGTAACAGTTGGGGTAGGCTGAAGATAATGTGTAAATAAACAAACTGCATAGGAGTATATTATAGACTCTTCCTAATGTAACGCAATTCCTAATCTAATTTATGATGACTAGATTGGTTACCCTTGATAGTGCAAGAATAAAGACTTAAAGAAATAGTGTTTAGATTCACTGGTACAGAGAAAGTTAACAGGTATCTATCATAAGTTTTCAAATAAGATGTGATCTGCAAAAGAACTGGTGTCATTATCAGACTGATTGCAGATCAGAGGCTTAGGTTAGGGATGAGAACAAAGAAGTGCAACATCTTTTGCATGATCCTCCATAAGATAATGGTTAGGGAAGAAAAGTCATCAATTTTTTTGTCCCTGGATTGATCACCTTTATCTTTAAAAGTCTCAGAATTAACCTTTCACTAGCTCTCAGCTGAGCTTCACTGTGTATAAGTGTAGGGATTTATAGCCTGGGAACTCACACAGTCCCGTCCTGTTAAGGTGGAGTCTTCCCAAATTGGCTCCTTCCAGGAGGCTGAGTACATTTGAATTGGCTTCTTTCCAAATTCCACACCCGTACATAAAGTAAAAATACTACTATGTGAACCTCCCTGACTCTAAAAAGTTTGTGTCCTAAGATTTCAAGCTGTTTTAGAAAAATAACAGGCCCTGTATGGTATTTTGTAGTTAAATGTTCTTTGCTGAATGGAAATTCAGAAACAACTATTCAACTTAGTGTATATTTAACAGGATGGAAAATCTTGATTTTATTGTATAACTGGGTCTCATAAACTATTTGGATTTTTCTTTCTTTTCATGCTTCAACAATATGTGATTCTGCAATTCAGCTGATTTGCATCTCATTTAGTATTTGACAGGGTACAAACCTTTTATATGCCATCAGATTGTCATCTCTAGTACAGCATTCATCTGCCCCAGCAGCGTAGTAATCCCAGGTGGTTTTAGGTAAACGTTCTTTAGCATACACCTCAAAGTCAGACAAACATACCAAAGACATCTCTGGGTCACACAAAGATCTGAAACAATAATGGGTGCATGGAAATTTTAACAGGAATTTCAATCTCAAACATTATTGCAGGAAGAAAAGACAATAAAGGGACTAAAAGATGATGTGTACTCCATACAGTGAGAAAAATATAGTCACAATTGAAAAGTGCCAAGATTCCTGAATGGATTATGAAGCTATCGGTTTTAAGTCAGAAATCACAAGCCAAATATTTCTACTTTCCTGGAGGAAAGGAGCAGTCTATGTTTCAGGTATTACCCTTCTTCAGGAGTCCTGAAGAAGAGTAATACCTGAAACGTTGACTGCTCCTTTCCTTCAGATGCTGCTTGGCCTGCTGTGTTCTTCCAGCCTCCTGTTTATCTACCTTGGATTCCAGCAAGTTTTTTTTTGTCTATTTCTGTTAACTGATCAGTTCTGTAAGAAGAGTCACACTGGACTCAAAACATCAACTCATGTTTTTCTCTCAACAGATGCTGCTAGACCTGCTGAGTTTCTCCAGCATTTTCTGTGTTTGCTTTAGGTTCCCAGCCCTCATATTATTTTGCTTTTATTCCTATAATTTGTTCTGTTTATATCATGAGGAAAAATTCTGACATTTTTATAGTAATTAATAAGTTAACCCTTTTTAGAACATGACAAAATGCTATTGTCTTCAAAACTGTTTGACATCCAAAATAATCTGTGAGCTCTTGCTTGTTCAGTTTATTTTCAGGTTATGTGTCAATAGATGTGTTTTAATTAATAGTTATGGTGTCTCAACTCTTCCCAACCCTGTACTGGCTAACAGCGAGATCAGAAACTGTAACATTATAGAGAAACCATCACTTCTCAGTCTCTTTTCAAGTCACACATCATCCTGATATAGACTGGTATCACCAGTTCTTCATTGTTGCTATGTCAAAATTCTGGAACTTCCCATGTAAAACGTGATCAATGGCTCGACACCATTCCAGTTGATCTACAACTAACAATAGTGAAGGCATCTAGAGATGGGTAATAAATGTGATCTTGCGGGGTCAAACAAACAATAAAAATTCAAATTCTTGTAGATCTAACACATTGAGGAATTTTTCAGAGCTTTACGGATTATAAAAAAATGGTGCTTGTTCTAGAACCTTGGATGAGAAAGGACTCTGCAACTGGAAAATTGGTATATGTCTGGCTATGCCATTTACCATATCTAAATAATGACCTAAATATTGTGGTCAGCAGTGATCAAATGGCACTTACCATTCACTTCAATTATCAGTTCGAGTGGGCAGGCTCGATGAGGATCTGTATCGGTCTCTTTTAACTCCACTTTTTACAGGGGTGCTGAGATAATGAGACTTAAAGAATGGCTTGTTGACAAAGCCAAAACCTCCACAGCAGAGGAACAGCAGGGGAGGGATGTGCTGTTTCAATGTTGCATCATTAGAGATTTTGCAGCAGGCTGTATGGGCACACAGGGTGATGTTGTTCCTCCAAATGCGAGGAAGAAGGCAGCCACTGAAAACAAGCCTACATGTGTGGAATTAACAGCGGAGGTTAGTGGAGAGGTATGTTGTCATTCTCCTGGATACAGTGCTGCAAGAGGTTTAATGATTTCCTTGGGGAGAGACAGTCAGTAGCATTGGTCATTTCAAGTAGAAACTCTTCACTCTGCTTTCCCAAGCCTTCTGGATATCATTCCATTTACTCATTAATGGAATGAGGGTGTCGCTGGCTAGGCAGCATCTATTGCCCAGAGGGCAGTTCAGAGTCAACCGCATTTCTATGGGTCTGGAGTCACATGCAGGCCAGATCAGGTAAGGATGGCAGTGTCCTTCCCTAAAGGACATTTGTTAACCAGATGGGTTTTTCCCAACAATTGACAATGGATTCATAGTCATCAGTAGATTCTTAATTCCAGATATTTTTATTGAATTCAAATTCCACCCTCTGCTGTGGCAGCATTCAAACCTGAGTCCCCAGAACGTTAGGGGTCTCTGGATTAACGTCCAGAGATAATACCACTTGGCCATCACCCTCCCTCCCCAGCACACTTTGCAGATGCATTCATCCTTTCTGTAGGGGCAATGTCCATCTGGGCATTTACACATTGTCACTTATTCTCATCTTAAAGTCACACCCGCGCCACACAGTGATCCTCTCATTCTTCTAAACTTCCATAGAAATATGCCCGGTCCGTCCAACTTAAGACACTCATTCCAAGTACCAATCTAGTAAATATCCTTTGAGTGCCTGCAAACCATTCACATCATTCCTCAATAAATGGGCCAGAATTGCACATTGTATTCTTCCTGCTAAAGTGCAACTTTATGTTTTACCACATGGATGGCATGATGGCTCAGTGGTTAGCACTGCAGCCTCACTGCCTCAGGGACCTGGGTTCAATTCCATCCTTGGGCAACTGTCTGTGTGGAATCTGCACATTCTCCCTGTGTTTTCTTGGGTTTCCTGCCACAGTCCAAAGATGTTCAGACTGGGTGGATTAGCCAGCTAAGAGCTTTTTACATCAAAATCTACAATTCTGCCAAACTCCTTAAAATCTCTTGTAGATGTTACTAGGTGCGTAAGCCGTGGGAAATGCAGGATTACAGGGATAGGATAGGGGAGCTGGGTCTAGGTAGGATGCTCTTTGGAGGGTCAGTGTGGACTCGATAGGTTGAATGACCTGTTCCACACTATGGATTCTATATCCATATCTTAGATTTTTGCCTACTTACTCAACCTATCTATATCCACCTGCATTCCTCTTATGTCCTCTTCACAACATGCTATCCTAACTATCTTTGTGCAATCTGCAAATTTGGCTACCATGCTTTCGCTACGCTTATCCAAGTTTTTTTCTCTTCATTCATGGGATTTGGGCAATCTGTGGCTAGGCCAGCAGTTACTGCATGTCCCTAGCTGCCCTTCAGAAGATGGTGTCTTGTAGGTGGTGGTATTCTAACGTATCTGCTGTCCTTGTCCTTCTAAGGAAATGGCCATGGGTTTGGAGCATGCTGACAAAGGAACCTTGGTGAATTTCTATAATGCATCATGTAGTTGATACACACCTCTGATACTGATGTGTTTTTGGTTGAGGGAATGAATGTTAATGGATGTGGTGCCAATCAAGTGGGCTGCTTTTTTTTGATGGTGTCAATCTTCTTGAGTGTTGCTGGAGCTGCATCGATTTAAGCAAACGAGGAGTATTCCATCAGACTGCTGACATGTGCCTTGAGATAGCAGACAGACTTTGGGGAGTCAGGAGGTGAGTTACTTGCTGCAGAATTTCTGGCCTCTGGCCTGCTCTTGTAGCCATTGTATTTATATGGCTAGACCAGTTCAGTTTCTGGTCAGTAGTAACCTCAAGCACGTTGATAGTGAAGGATTTAGTGATGATAATGCCATTGTATATCAACAAGCGATGGTTAGATTCTGTTTTGTTGGAGCTGGTCATTGCCTGATACTTGCCTATTGATATGAAGTATAAAATGTTAAAGTTCCAGCATAGATGCTTGCAGGATTCTTCTTGCCACATCTTGCCAATCTGAAAGTCCCAATTGTACATACTCTATTTTCTGGCAGCCAATCAATCTTCTACACATGTTAGTATGTAACTGCGTAAAATCAAGAACTTCTACTTTATGTAATAACCTTATATGTGACACCTTGTCAAAGGCCTTCTGGAAATCCAAGTACAGAATACCTACACGTTCCCTTTTATAAATAGTTTCTGTTCCTCTTTTGGAGTACTCCAGTAAATTGGTTAATCATGATTTCCTTTCATCATAACCATACAAAGTCTTCCTGATTACCTTTGAATTTTTTCTAAAAGTTCAACTATAAACTCCTTAATGATCAAATCTAACTTCTTCCTGATGGCAGGTGTCAAGCTGGCCTATGGTTTCCAGTTTTCTGCTTTCGTTCCTTCTTAAAGAAGCATGTAATGTTTGCTATTTTTGCAGTCTGATGGAATCTTCCTGGAATCTAGTGAATTTTGAGAAATTAGTGCTAGTTTACAATGGCTGAGCTACATGAAGACGGAGAGATGGGGCCAGTGGGCACATAATTGTGAGATAGGTAGCTGCACTGCCTCAGACTAACTGAAGCACATCTGAATCAGGCCATCTTGGGCACCCTGATAGTTTAGTGTGCGGCTATAAGGTGTCCATGCCATGATAGGTTCATTCTCCTGTGGAAGGGAGGATTAAAATCGGGCCATGTCTGCACTCACATGCAAATGTAAAAGATTCCATGGAACAATTTTGCAATAAAAATTGGAAAGCTTTCCCTGGTGTCCTCACCAACATTGATCCCTCAATGAACATCATTTAAAAAGTTTTCTGGTCATTATCACAGCTTTTGGGAGATTGCTGTGCACAATCTGGCTGTAGACTGTAATTTACTTAATTGATTTTGAAGCACGTTAGGACATCCTGAAGTCACAAAAGGCTCATTATAAATGCAATGCTTTGTTTTTGCAAAGGAAATACTTTCCACCACCTGGATTGTAGTCCTCGATACTGTTATACAAGATGGAGGTGACCACTATCATTCTAGAAACATTAGCTGGTGAATAATGAAGAGCTGCACCCCACTCCCCTTTTCTCAAGGCATCTGAATCACATTTTCAATATCCCAATGACTTATTCTATTATAATTCTGGTGATTATGGGGCTTTTGCTATACCCTTCTGTCAGCATTTGTGTTCCACACAACTATCATCAGCCATATCTTCAGATGGCAGTCTTTAAGTCTCCTTTGAGGTGTGAATATCTCTGGGAGTCCTGACTGGTGCAGGGTGAACACATCACAAAAGCTCCCTGGGAATTATGAACCGATGCATGATGATCATTTATTGGTTGCACCTCCTGCTGAACAGTGATATGGTAGAATCCCTTTTAGATGAAGACGGGAGATGCCTTGATTGTTACATGTGTGTAGTCAGTAATTCTGTGGGACAGCAGCAAATCTAAACAGTTGTCATTCATGTTGACTTGCTGGGTGTAAGATGCATAGATATGTTGGTCATGGCACACA